CACTTTTTCAAAACCCTTCTCTTTTAAACATTTTCACTTATGAGAAGCTTAAATATTATTTAAATGATTAAGCGGCACGCCGCAATGAGTGAAAATAAATGTTATACTGCATGTTATTTAGTTTTGGTTCACAATACATTGATACGTTTAGAAACAAAGAGCATACAACGGCAGAATATGGAATAATGAGCGAGCACCTGATGTGTGTCTGTGTGGTTAGACCGCAGCCTGCTGTCCTTTAGCGGATCTAGCGAGTGAGCGGCCGTGCGTAAAAGGCACTGGTTCTCTGACGCGGCACTTTTCAGAGGCTGCAGATTTATCATTAGGCTACTTCCTTCTGATACTGCAGAGCTTTTGGGCAGCAGATACTGTTGCTTCACACTCATAAGCTTTGCTGATTTTGGGCTGGAGAATGCCTGCCGCGTCTGGGTGCGCTCTGGTAGTTGCAAATGGCATGACATTTTAGCTCTACGTTTCTTAATCATTTCCCTAGATATTTAGTCTCAATATGAAATGAGGAATCTCTTGCTTTGCACACGTGACAATTATGTCCGGTAAAATTTTACGTGTTCCCGATTTTTCTCAATGATCTCTCCCTGTCGGCCCTCTGGGTTGAGTAGCTGATGGAGGATGGTTCCATGGTCAGACTTCTCGCACTGTCTGTAGTTTGTATTTCTCTCCATAGCTATTGCATGAGCTGCGCTGCTTTCGTGTTTACTGAGAGCATAGTCGATATGTTTCCAGTCCCTGTAACCATGGCGACTGAATGTATCTTCTCCGCCGGCCCCGCCTCTCACTAAAATGCCGGCATATTTTACAAAACACACTGTCCTTGCTAATGCTATACTCCAATAATGTGTTCTTGTCATACCAGTGGGCAGCGGAGCTCCTTTTCCTTTGTCCAAAAAGTGTCTGAGGGTACTTTATGAGCTTTGGCTGTGTAGCCGCCGGGTCATCTATGGCTGAGAGGTCCGGCACTGGGATGCTATTTTCTGTTGACCTGCAACGGGTGCTACGTCCCGCAGAGGGACTGAGCTCAGCGGGGCACAACATTAAACACACTCTCGTCTCTCTAAGGCGGCACCTGCTGTGAGGATGACTCTTCTTACTCTTTAAAATGAAAACCTGAACATCGATTGTTGTGACATCGTTAGTGAGTGCGGTATATTTTTTGTGTCTGTCCAGTCCACTGTCCTCCATCTGCGCGCGCCCGCGAGACGTTCTACGATGTGTTTGCTCCCGCGCTTCCACTATCAGTTCGGTCCAAATTCACATTTACGTTGCCCGATTACATTAATTCATGTTGCTTTTAATTTTCTAAGTTTTTTTTAAAGGGAAAAAAATGATGTTAGTAATCGTTAGTTTTGATAATAAAAAATGTGGAAACTATATTTTCGCCCAGTCATTTTTGATCAATGAGTGGGTGGGCCTAGGCCCAGTAGGCCCACCCATAACGCCGCGGCTGCCTCAGACGCTGTTTCCTGCAGATGACGCGTTTTTCCGCCCGGGGGCGGGTTGATGGGGTTCAACAGGTTAAGGGGGATGGCTTTTCGGGCTGTTCCCTGGCCTTCAAATAGCAGTTTCACTACACTGTAAAACCCGATTAGTTCGGAGTACTCAAAACTTTTGTGGAAACGGATTACCACCAAAGTTTTAAGTAAACTAACTTAAGACTATAGAGTAAATGATTGATCAAAAATGATAAGTTACTAGAACTTAAAAATGTAATTATTATTTTTGTATTATTTAAGTATACTGTACTTATAAACATTGTTTAACACATTTTAAATTTCTCCATAATGAATTAGTTTGATGCAAAAGTACTTAATTGCAAGAATATTGAAATCAACAAATATATTTCTAGATAACTCATTGGCCAATATTTAAAAAAATTAAAATCAATTTTTCAAAAGGTACTTATTGTTCACAAAAAAGTAAAATTAATACAAATTAGTTATATTTTCTTTTTGTAAAAAGAAACATTTCAAGGAGTTTTGCAAGCCGTTTGAGTATTTATTCCATATCCTTGATATCAGACGGCAGCTGCCTACACTAGTTGGCTCTTTGATTTCACTTGTTAGTTATATGGTCACACTAGTTTGGCACTCTGCTTTACTAGTTGAATACCACATTATACTAGTCACTCTTTTTCAGCAACTAGTGGCACTTTTGTCCGACTAGTTACCACATAAGCCTTACTAGTGACGCCAGGAGCAGCACTAGTAGCACCAAAGTCCCAACTTGTCAGAGTTTTTGCAGCGCAGTGTTAGAAATTAAAATCAATGTTTTATAGCATAATTTAGTCTAAAACATACCGTCAGTTTAAAAGCAGTCTTATGAAGAACTCATTGATTTCAGTATTGTGTTCACACCTTAAAAAGGTATGAAAGGAGGGATTGTTAGAAATTAAAATCAATATTCAATGACGTAATTTAGTTTAAACGCACAGTAAGCTTTGTCGTAGCAGCTTTAAAATCAGCTGGGGTCTAGAGAGAATAATCAGTTAGGTGACAAACGTACAGCAACACAATGTTCGTATTGAAAGCAATAAGGATCTTTATATTTGCAAGTATGACGTCCCCTCCAAAGGAGGGTGTACTGTTCTGAGTGAAACAGGCTCTCTTTATGGGAGGACATCAAAGCAGATTCTCATTACAACAACATTCTGGGAGGCCAGCTGATACCCCCTCTGGCACTGTATGCAAAACCATCACACCCTACAAGACAGTGAGATATACACAGACACAGTATGCAAAACCTCACCCCCTAAACGTGTCTGTTGATCACACATACATTTAAGGTTCACTCTCAGAGAGATGACCTAATCAGAGAAACTAAGACAATGAGAAAGAGGAGGGAAGTTCCCTCCTTACGTCACCGCCCGCCATTGATGAGGAGTCACCACTGAGATATAGAGAGAGGTGATGGAGCTCTTTCTTCACCCCGGTGAGGCAACAGCTGCTCTGTCTCTCCTCTTACCCTCTGCTTGTTGTATCATCGTGCCATCTAATTAAACTCAACCAATTTGAACCTTTCCGGAGACTCCATTAGTCTCTTCATTCTAAGCTTCTCTCCTGGGCGCGACAACAACGAATACTTCTAACAGCAGTTAACTTTTAGTGTCACTAGTACGGTCAGAGGGTCACTAGTTAATCAAAAAAGCTTACAAGTTGGGACTTTGGTGCTGCTCCTGGCGTCACTAGTAAGGCTTATGCAGTAACTAGTCAGACAAAAGTGCCACTAGTGGCTGAAAAAGAGACTAGTATAATGTGTTATTCAACTAGTAAAGCAGAATGTCATACTAGTGTGACCATATATCTAACAAGTGCAATCAAAGAGCCAGTTAGTGTAGGTAATTGCTGTCTGATATCAAGGATATGAAATTGTTAAGCTCCGTGATCGCTCTTTCAGGACTGAACCCACAATACAAACACGGAGAGGAGAAACAGGAGTTTGCAGCAAAAGGTTTTAATTACTAATCGAGTCAGAGGATACTAACTGTAGTAATATTGTCCAGGAAAGGGGAAAACAAAGCTAGAGAATGGAGATCCTCCGCCGAGGCTCCGGAGAGAGGTGGGGATATCGCCAGGCAGATTAAAGGTGGACAAGCCTGTGTCTTTGCGCTCTCGAGAGCGAGTTGGTTGGAGCAGGAGTGAGAGTTTGTCCAGCCGGACAGGAGAGTGGCGAGCAGGGGTTTCCGAGCTGAGGTTTGCGAACAGGCTGGAGCTGGTTGTGTGAAGAGTTGATGAGTCCGACGAGGAAGTGGCTGGACGTGGCAAGCGGAGAAGGAGATGATGGATTCTGAATAACGAGACAAACAGGTAAAACAAAATTACCTAATCCAGAGTAGTGACGAACCAAGCTAGAAAGCAATACGTATTACCAGTGTAATCTTGACGACGAACTGGTGAAGACTGGATGAGAAGACCGGGTTAATAAGCAGGTGTGGATGAGTAGATGATCAGGATGAATGAGAAGCAGCTGCGGAGATGAATTGGCGGGAACCAGAAGTAGGTCAGCCACGCCCAGCCCGGGAGACAAACACAGACAGACAGACAACAAACAACAAACAAAAAGGGAAGCAGAAGGAGGGAGTACTGCAAATCCTTACAGAAATAAATACTCAACGGCGTGCCATAGGAGTTAAAGTGCAAACATGAACAACTGTAGGCACAGGGTTTCAGTGGTTTACCACCATCAAGGACCATCAGCACTTTCAGTGCAAACATGAACAACTGAGGTAGATTTAGACATATTCTACCAAATGTAAACATCATTCAACTGCTTTAAGCAACGAATTAACTGTGCAAAACAAACATTGGCATGTACAAAGTTTTAACCTGTAACACGGCCTACTTTTTCAGTAACAGGTCATTTTTTAGATTGAGTAGGCAGGGTTTCAGTGGTTTACCACCATCAAGGCCCATCAGCACTTTCTGTGCAAGCATGAACAACTGAGGTAGATTTAGGAGATAGACATAATCTACCAAATATAAACATTAAACTGCTTTAAGCAACAAACTATCAAATGTTTTCATTTTTCATTTAATAGTTTATTTGAAGAGGGACAGTGCACATTGATGAACATTTAAAACAAATAATGCTTTAAAAACGTAAACATGCCGGATTTTAGCTTTGAGCTAGTTTCCATCCGTAGTCCCTCACATACACCATTCAATAATTAACTGTGCAACACAAACATTGGCATGTGCAAAGTTTCAACCTGTAACACGGCCTACTCTCTCAGTAACAGGTCATTTTTTAGATTGAGTAGGCAGGGTTTCAGTGGTTTACCATCATCAAGGCCCATCAGCACTTTCTGTATGAAAGTGAAAGTGTTGATGAGTTTCTTGGGGTAGTCCAAATGTAACACGTACATCAAGCCAAACAACAATGCAAAGGAATCCGCCATCCTGGGGATATTGCTGATGACGAAATCACCTTCCACCAGAATAGCAGTACTTGCCAGACTGAGATCAACTTGACTTGGAGTGCCCTCGGTGACCATGCTGACAATAGCAACCGGTGTGTTGGTGATGTCTGGCCGGTCCACCTCCTCTGCCTGGAAATGCATAGAGTCCAACTGTAAGGTTGACTTGAAGTAACTAAACAATCTCATTCACATATTCCTCAACAGGTAAGTATATAGAAAGGTATTTCAAAAATGTGTTTAGGTGAACCTTTCTTTTATATATCTGAAAATATTTTTGATTGCTCCCGTCTGTTTGTTTTTTTTAACTGGAAGGGTAAAATAGCTAAACAGTTTCTTACAAGCACACATTCTGACCTCACTAGCAGTACTTTGAGTGCACTAAATATTTACGCTCCAAGACTTGAAGAACTGTGGGTCCTCCTCACGCAGGTATAATGGGAGGGCTCGAAGGGCTGCATTGCGTTTCATGTGGACATCCTGTAATTCCTGGAAAGACAAGCATAATTAAAAAGCAACGGCTTCTTAAATTAATATATACATATTTATTTTTGATTGTTGTCAAATTCAATTAATAATTTGGAATATTTTTTTTTTCCCTATTTGTTATTGTTATATTTGTGATACTCTTGTGTAAAAGTAAATAAGCATTGATACTATGGTGTGTTCCAATCAAGTAATTTAGCCTCGGCTGTCATTGGAAAAACTTGATTTGGACCAAACTTCTATTAAACTCACCTGGAGATCACAAATCCTTAGGATTTCACGCAGGGCCTCAGATACCTTGCCAGTGCGTGCCACCTTCTGCCTGTACAAGGCAATCAGTCGCAGGGTGTGTCTGTCTAGTTCAGAAAATAACTGGTTCCGTAGGTTGACGTTTGTGATTCGGTGAAACTCGGCACAAACCTACTGTTACGAACTCAGACACTTAGGATGTAGGACCCAATTGCACGACCCGGGAGACAGAGGTAAAGTATTAGTAAGATACTTTATTTTCCAAAATACAGCAATGAACAACAAAAAAGGTAACTATCAAATCTCTAACCGAGATGACAAAAATAGAGGAACAAAATGAAAGCGCTCACGTAGTGAGGAATCAAACTTTACAAGAGTACAAAGAGCATAGACCTGACCATAGCAAGAGACAATACGAACTGACAAAGAACACTTGGGAGACAGGGGAATATAAGCACAGGGTAACTAGACACAGGTGGGACCAATCAGGGGCGGGGCTGACATTGATGAGCACAGGAGACACAGGTGAAAATAATCAGGAAGCCTGGAATGAGAGAAAGCAAACGTAAATAACATGCATCTCTCTAGCATTTCTGTCGGTGCACAACACCTACAGGAACACACAAATGTATAAAGATCATTAAAGGTCCCATGTCATGGCCATTTCTACTGATCATAATTCCATTGTTGAGGTATACTAAAATAGATTTATACTGTGCAATTTTCCAAACTCACATTGGTTTCTCATACAGCATCTCTGTAAAGTATGTGTATTCACCGGTATTCACTCTCTGTCCTAAACGGCTTGTTGGAGCTCGCCCCCCCCCCCCCTCCCTCCCTGCGAGCCCAGTGTGCTCTGATTGGTCAAGCGACGTGCAGCTGCTGTGAGCCTCACGAGCAGTGAGGAGCTGCTGTGAGGAGCAGACAGGGCTTCCGTGTCGGCGAAACAAATACAGCAAGAACAAGCGAAACTCATCCTGAGCACACACAAACACTCACAGCCGATGTAAAAACAATAAGTGTGGCTTGATAATGAGTAAGAAAAAGGTTTATAACGCTGTGAGCATGGGTCTGCGGAGAGCATTTCTCCGCGATCCCAACTTAGCAGTCCGAAAAACGTTTACCCATTTAAACAGTCGTGGTAGATACCTTGTTTGTTTTAAACATCATAAATACACAAACAACAATGAATACTTACAGGTTGTGTACCCGAATCTCCCGCTGGTCCAAACAAAGTAGGAACAGCATCGTTCTTCAGTGCCCTACGCTGTACATATCCGGCATGAATCGCTGAAAGGTTTGGGAAGCTTTGTTTCGTGAAAGGCTGGCAGAGGGTGCGGCCATAGCTCTGGGCGTGGCTACTGGGTATCCCTACGTAGCGATACCCAGGAAGTAAATGAGAAATCTCCAACGAGGCGTTTTGGGGAGGTCTTTTCTGTGTTAGAGTTTTACTCGCTACAGGGTGTACTTTGAGGGTTTTTGACTCTGCAGACCGTTTACATGCAGAAAAACCTTCATAACACACAAGGGGACGGGTAATAACCGGAAAAGCATGACATGGGACCTTTAATGGATATGCAACTGTAAAATTATTAGTGATGCAACCTGTTTTGTTGTTTCCGTAAAAATATATTGCAACATGATCATATTCAAAGTATTAATTTAATTTGTATTATTATTTATATTATAAAAATAAATATTGTTTTATAATATATTAACATTGAACAACAACACTGTTCCATTGTGTGCAAAGTAGGCAGTTTTTGCAAGCAAAATTGGGAAACGGTGTGCAGACTATGAGAAAGATGTGACAAGGGGCAGAAAAAAGAAAGATTAAAATGTCTGTGAGAGCGTCTGTGTTTTACCTGTGATTCCATCCGGAGGGCCGGCCATTTCTCTAAAAAGTCCCCGACCAAGGGATTTTCCTGAACGATCTCCTGGCGACAAAGGGCAAAAGTCGTCTGCATGAGCTTTTCTATCAAGATGAGGTTCTTCTCACTTTTCTCAACTTCCTGCAATGATAAATGATTGAAATGTAAAATATGCAAGAGTCATAGACACATGGCAAAGGGCTAACTCTTGCTTCAAACGATAGTGCCTAAATAACTGAGCCCGGGTGTCTGACGAGACAGCACACAATTTGCACTTCCACGCCATTGAACCATTTCAACCATGCAACTTCAACAAAGCATGATGATCGGATCTGTAGAAAGGCCAGTTCTGTTCAAGTTACCTTGAATCTTGAGTCTATGCACCAGCTTCACCCTACGACAAAAATAAATGTGCAGAGTTTTAATACAAATGTGCAGTTTTCATTAGCTTACTGTCACTAGCAAACATGCCTGTGTGTAAGCCTCAACGTAATTGTGGAAAACAGCTCTAGCTAGCTACTAGCTTAATTCAGGAATAACATCACATTTACCAGATAATAGCAGATAACATTAAGCACCAGTAACACACTTATAAACAGTAGGGCTGCCGTTGACTGATAGGAGTTACTAGCTAAAGTGAACATGCTGCTGCTCTGACGTTAACGTCCTTACACTCCATTGAACCATTTCAACCATGCAACTTCAACAAAGCATGATGATCGGATTACTGTAGAAAGGCCAGTTCTGTTCAATGTTCTGAATACCTAATTAAATAAATAAAGCTACTGGAAAAAAGTTCTAAATTAATTCAATGAAAAAACTGAACACAGTATGGGTTAGCAATAAGTTACCTTGAATATTGAGGAGTCTCACTGCTATGCACCAGCTTCACCCTACGGCAAAAATAAATGTGCAGAGTTTTAATACAAGCTTGCCGTTTTCATTTGCTTACTGTCACTAGCATCAACGTAATTGTGGAAAACAGCTCTAGCTAGCTACTAGCTTAATTCAGGAGTATTCAGGAATGACATCACATTTACCAGATAATAGCGTTAATAAGCACCAGTAAGTAACACACTTTTAAACAGTAGGGCTGCCGTTGACTAATAGGAGTTTCTAGCTAAAGTTAACATGCTGCTGCTCTAGCGTTAACGTCCTTACACTACTTAACCGGCAGTCCGACATTAAAAAAATTGCGCGAAGCAGCCGATAAACTGCGGCGCTGTGCACGTAACTCTGAATTTAACAATGGGGTCTAACGATCACATATGATCTTCGGGTGGTATATCCTTACAATATTATAACAAGAAAAACAGTTTTAACGACTTATTTTGATACTTACAAGTTAAACCATGTGTGGAATCCCTTCGCTTGCAAAAGCCGCCATGTTGGATGGATTTTTCTCGATTCGTCGCGACGTAATGACGTCAGACGCTGCGTGACTGTTCACTCAGAAGTTATAATTCAAATTTGAATATTTACTCATAAACTATGATCCACATAAAATTAAACAGCACTTTTCGTTAAAAGAACGTATACGTTTATTGTTCGGTTGACTTGATATTTGGTTTTGATTGCAGTACCCATAATACTTATGAGTTAGTAGTACTGTTGGGGTTTACAGTGTAGGTAGCATATTCCCCTTAGGCCACGGTGCTTAAGGGGGATGGCTTTCCGGGCTGTTCCCTGGCCTTCACATAGCATGTTCACTAGGTAGTATATTCCCCTCAAAGCCGCGGTGCTTAGGGGGAATGGCCATGTGGCAGTTTCGCCAGACCCTCTACTTATCAGACTAATATCACCAGCGTCAGGCTCTCAGTCCTCGCAGTTTTGGGGGATAGGTATGTAATCTCCATGCCATATTGGGGGAGAGTTATCTAATCTCCACGCAGTTTTGGGGGAGAGTTATCTAATCTCCACGCAGTGTTGGGGGATAGTTATCTAATCATCACTCAATGTTCTTTCTAAATCTGTGGAGTGATGAGGCCCGAGCCTAGACGCCAAACTCAAACTATATGCAGCTTATAATAAACATATTAAGAAACACGTGAGTTGTCTGACTGAAATGGGGCGAAGCCTGCAAGCTAGTTCAGGCAGTCAACTCGAGCACCAATGATACATTAACACATGACGCACCTCGTGCCTCTTACAACCAACCAAACACATTCTCCTAAACTTGCCTCTCTATTTAAGCTGCCAGGTCTTCCTGCCTCTGCCTCGCTATGCTGCTGCTGCCACTGCTGTGTTCACTTGCTATTGCTACGTTCATGTTCCTGCTGCTGTGTTTCATGTTGCTGCTGCTCGCCTGCCCCACCACCACCCCAGCTTCCACCTGTAGGCTCGGGGGATAGTTATCTAATCATCACTCAATGTTCTTTGTAAATCTGTGGAGTGATGAGGCCCGAGCCTAGACGCCAAACTCAAACTATATGCTGCTTATAATAAACATATTGAGAAACACCTGAGTTGTCTGACTGAACTAGTCAATTGAGGCCTATTGTGACCTCATTCATCATGGTCAATGTGACTGCATTGGCAACCTCATTTAATATGTGCTTCATGTATTCTATTAGGGTTTTCAGTTATGCATTTCTATGTCTTATCCTTTTTTATATCTCTAGAATCACTAGATCACTAGCCATGCCGCCTGGGGAGATAAAGATCTCATCTGTAGTGGTTTGTTCTTCCCGTCTCAATCCTTCCTCCTTTGATTTTCATTTGGGGTTTTCCTATTCTACTTAAGTCTGCATCTCCACCTTAAGATATATAATATCACTATGGGTTCTAACTGCCAAAAACTATTCACATTTATATCATCTTGTGCACATCCGTCCTCCTTTCTCCTCCAGAAGGCTGTCAGTTAAGCCGATAATGCTGCGGCCCTCCTCTACCTCGTTTTACATGGTAAATTCGGGGGGGGAAATCCCGAATTTAATGAGGGAAACAAAGTAACGAACATGCTAACCCAACACTTCAATCTGTGCAACACACCTACATTAATTTAAAGAATAATCAAGATATAGACAACTGACTCCTACATTTGGCTTATTTTGGCTGTAGAGTCGTACAGATGGAGCCTCTTATTTTGGACCCCAGCATACAGCTTCCTGCCGACTGCCAGCCAGTTGCCTGCCTAAGACCTGCCAAAGACCAGTATTCAG